TTAATATAATTAAAAATAAAATAATTAACTAAGCCCTTTATAAAAATAACTATAATAAGCTATATAATAAGGCTTTAAAAATTATAGATAACTAGTTTTATATATATAATATTACTAATATCTAGCAGGTATCTTTTAGTTATAAAATCCCTAAGCTTATATAGCCTTAATATAAGCTAGTTAATAAAGGCTTTTTTAAGTATAAAATTAAGGCATTTAATAAGCTTAAAGAGAAGTTATTTAAAAAGATAAATTTTAAGCCTAAGGAAATGGAATTTATTATAGCTATTTATAGTAACTTATATAATAAGTAGTTTAAGGCTATTAAGTAGTAGGCTAAGAGGGTATTATTAAAGCTTAATTTACTATAGTAATAAAGATAAGGGGGATAGTATAAAAAGGAGGTAATTACAGGGTTCTGCAGGGGGAAAATATATTAAGTTTTATATAGGTTTAGAAGCCTAAAGTTAAAGACCTAAAGTTATAACATTAGCGTAATTAGTAAAAAAGGCTAATTAATTATATAATAGGGCACGTAACCGTTACGCCTAGAATATTAGTATACTATTAGTATAAACAGGGGTTTTTAAGGTTTATATTAAAAGCTTTTTATACTTTTCTTTTTTACTAAATAACTTTAATAATTTTTAAAAAGATACTTAAGGCTATTACTATATAGATAAGGCTATAAATATTAAGAATTATAAGCTAAATTAAAATATTACTACTTATCTTATTATATTTCCTATTAGTACTATATTTTATAACTTTAGTTTATATACTTTAAAGGTTATTAAAGCTTTTTACTATATAAAGCCTATAGCTTTTATTATTAATTTCTTATAATATAATAAAAAATTAGTTACTATATTTATAGGTATTATATATTACTATATCTATAGGTATTATATATATAGAGTAAATTTATACTAATAATTATTTTTATTAAAGTTACTATTTTAAAGATCTAGGGTTTTATAGTATTAAACTAACCTTTTTTAGCTAATAAGTTAAAGTATTTTATATACCTTTATAGCTAGCTAAAAAGTTATCTTTTAAGTTTTCTTAATATTAGCCTTTAGCTATAGTAATTATTTAGTTATTATAATATAATATCTAAGTTATTAGCTAGATATATTATTTATAGTTATAGCTTATAGCTAAGAGCTTAAATTAGCAGACAGAACTTAGTAATTACAGTAGTGTAAATAGTCTTAATTGTTAATATAGTTCTTAATGGTTTGCATGGCCCTGCATAGATAACACGTGGCTAAGCCGAAAGCAACGCAACAATGAGATACTGCGTCAAAATACCCATGGTAAAGAGAGTGGACGTGGCCGTGGCCTAACGAATTCTCAAAAATTAAGGGGAGTGCAGAAGAGAAGGTAAAGGAACTTTCAAGGGGGGAATTGGGTTCTTCTTAACAGTTTAATTGAGATTAAGTGTGTAGCTGAGAAATCAAATAAAGCCAAGAGGCTATTGATTACTATTGTCAAACTATTGTCATACTATTGCAATTTGTTGCGCCACTTTCCTTGGCATTACGGAACTTGCTGCAGGTTGAGCATGGGTAATAAATAACGACTTCATTATGGGCCTAATGCTGATGATTCGTGAAATATCTAGTCGTCACTTGATACAGCAGGACGGTTCTTTGCCAGAGGATAGCTTGAACATGTATGCTGGGATGTGAGTTGGGAAAAATACAGGGATATTGTCTTGGTGCTTTTTAGTATATCCAATCGAGGGTATCAGGTTCAGCCTCCTTCACACTTGGTTCCTAGCAAACGTTATCGGTGTTATGTAAGTCAGATCAATAATGGAGTTTCAGTAATTAAAAGAGAGTTCAAATACGTAAAGTTAGCTATTCTTTAGCTATATAATATGCTTGTATCATAGCCAAGAGCTAAATACAAAGATATAACCGAGATCGTTAATTCGTTCAGGCTTATCTTATATAGAAGATAATTGCAAAGTATAACATTAAATAAGATTATTTCAGGAGTTCTCATAAATGTATATCCTAAAGAGGGTCTTAATACTACTATACTGAAATTGCCCATAACCAGTCCGAACCAATAATCTTTCTAATCTCAGCACAAACACCTTCTCTCCACCCTCTGGTTGCAAAGTCATTACCACTCTTTCCATTATCCAGAAAGCAGCCATACGAGAGCAATACAAGAGCTGCAGGCTCATGATCTTCAACAAGCTTCATAAAATCTTTCCCAACTAAGCAAATCCATTGCAACGATGCTCGATGTGCTGGGCACCACTCTGACGTTTGCGCTTTTCTTATGAGCCATTTCATCAGATCTAAAGCGCCCTGGCAAATTCTTTTAACGCCCGGATCCTGAACCTGTTCTAGAAATGTTAAAGAATCAAGCATGTTGAGAACGGGATCGAGGGGCCCATGGTCTGGCGGTTCGCCCTCAGAGACAAAGAGTATAAGCTCGTGACGATCTGGTCGTATGACGCCATATGTTTCTGCGATAGCCCTGACGCCTCTCGTGAGCCTGCAAGTGACAAGCAGGTCACTCAGCATGGTAGAAGGCTCGTCCTTGGCCCGTAGAAGCTCTTTCACCGAGCCTTGGGCATAGGAGTTGATCATCATGAGAACAGAGGCAAGATGACATACGGGGCCGTTATCGGTATTGGCCCTCGCTACTGCGTGTCTCATCATCCCTGCGGCGGCCTGAGAATACTTGAGTCCTAGAGAAGCGTAAATGTCCCGTCGTATCCGATCTCCTGGCGCGCTTGGCAGTGATAGATGGGCAGTGTGCGCTTGTTCGAATGAGGATATAGCCAGTACGAGATTCAGGATAACTGGATGATCGAATGCAAGGTGAATAACTTCGTGTTGCCAAAGGTCCTCCGATCCTCGTTGATGAACAATGGCCTTGTGAGCAACTTGGTGCCAGTGGCATAGCAGCTCTCTATCATGTGCAGTCAAGCCATATGTTGGAGATGGGGCTATTCGCTGGAAATGAGTGATGTCGGTGGTTGGTTCCAGAGCCTTGTTTGGTGGCGATTGCGTCCTGCTTCGAGATGACCTTTCTTGGGTTGTAAGGCTACATGTCGAACTACGACGGACGCAGGCTTTGCATGGAATCGCTTCGTCACACTACAATGGCTGTGAGCGATTGTTCAACTCGGTGAGCCGACGTTGTTTATCACCTTGACTTTTCTCGCCTTGCACTGCAGGCAACCAGTGCGTGTCTTTTTATAGGTCATTTGGACGATTTTACATGGAATCAGCAGGTAATTGAAATGAAATACTACTCTAAGTTGGGCGGTGATAAGGGATCTGGTCCACAGTCGTCAACACCACTGTGGACCTCAATCACGCAATCGTTCCCTCAGAACGCGTCTTCCACTAGCCCCGTCTCGGCAACGTACTTAGCCCAATGCACCAGCATTTCTTCCAAGACTTCAGGCCTCTTCTTGGAAAGATCATGCTGCTCAGCTGGATCCTTCTCCACGTCAAATAGCTCCCAATTGTCGCCGCCTTGCTTTGCCAACAAGACTGCCTTCCAATTTCCCCTACGGATGGCACGATTACCAAACAACTCCCAGCCATGTATATGATCTGCATCTTGATGGACGTTTGGATGCTCTGTAGGAGATGAGAGATGGTCGACCCATGACTTTCCTCGGGGAACGACAACCTCTCGACCTCTGAATCTTTTACCTGGGTGCTGCACTTGTGCAAGGTCAAGGATGGTGGGCAGTATGTCCATGACTGTTGTGAAGGTGTGAGAAATAGTCCCAGGAGCCGATGAAATTGGAGGGAAGCGTATAAGGCAAGGACAGCGAATGCCGCCCTCGGTTGACCATCCCTTGAATCCTCGAGAAGGCGCAGTAGCAGCGCATGCCCACCGAGAGCCGTACCAGACATACGAATCGTGTCTTCCAATATTCTCGAGACTATTGTCATAATGTGCAGCTATAAGTTCACCAAGCGTCTTGAACGACGATAAGAGCTGAGCATCACAGTCAGTTTTATCTTCCGGATTCATGAATAAGGGTGACCAACAGGTGCAGCTTCCAACGTAGAGCCTTCTGCGCCATTGTCTGACATGAACAGGATGAAAGTATTGTCAAGTTCACCAGATGCTTCAAGTGCATCGACGACTCTCCCAATGTTCTGGTCAAGGAGGTCGACCATTGCTGCATAAACCTCCATTTTCCTCGCCGATACAGCTCGCTCGTGGTCAGTGAGGTCTTCCCACTTCACACCAGCTTCGAAGCCAACAGGAGGAGCTGCTTCAACATCAGCTGGCACAAGACCCAGCTCTTTCAATCTGGCCAGCCTTGCCAGTCTGAGCTGGTCGGGGCCGTTGTCATATTTTCCGCCTGGGTACATCAGTATGGACGCTTGGCGGCGGCAAGTACTAAGAGCTTACTGTATTTGTTCACAACATGTTGGGGCGCTTGCATTGGCCAATGTGGCGCCGTATAAGCCAAGTACGAAAAGAAGGGCTGCTCCTTTTCCTCTTTGGTTCTGTCGCTCAACATATCAAGCAACTTGTCTGTGAAGAAATTGGTAGAATAAAAGTCTTCGGGTAGGTCTTTCTTTCTATCCACTGGACTTTGGTTCTCCATCCAGAATCCATCCGAGGTCAACAGCATAGTATCTTGGTCAGCCTCGAATTGCGGTTCGTAGTTAAAGTGGTTGCCACAACCAGGCAAGAAACCAAAACTCTTCTTGAAGCCCCTTGCACTTGGTGACACGTCAGGAGTCATTCCTAGATGCCACTTTCCAGACATGAGAGTCAAGTATCCTGCGTCGGAAAGAATCTCAGGCAGAGCAGCCACTTTCCAGTTGAGGTAGCCTTCGTAGCCAGGCTTGTCGACGTAGTCAGGATACTTGCCAGTGAGGTTCTTCTTCATCTCGGCAAATTCAGCCATCTGACCAAGTCCGGCGATGTGGTTGTCTGTCCCAGAGAGAAGCATTGCTCGCGTGGGTGAGCACGCCTGGGCGGTATGGAAGTTGGTCGTGCGTATGCCATCTTTGGAGAGGCGGTCCAAGACAGGGGTGTCTATCTCGGAACCATATGGCTTTACATCACTGAAGCCAAGGTCATCGGCAACGATGATAAGGAAGTTGGGCCTTTTTGCAACAACCATGATTGCAGAGTAGAATCAGAATGTAGGGGAGTTCAAGGGCGCGTGTAGAGAGACTGGGGTCGACTATCTCTACTGCTGAATCAGAACAAGGAGGTATTTTATATATGTAAGCAATCCACACGTACTACGACTGGTATCGCCGTCTGCCACGAGGCCCCCACTGAGACCGGCAAACAGGCATTTTAAGATATTTGTCGGGGAGTACGGGTGAAGGAGTTGGTTGTATCCGTAAATGTAACTGTCAAGACAACGCCCCCACTCACTAACCAACTCCAGCTTTTGGTGTGCCTCGGATGATGCTTCCATTGGCCCCAGATTTAATATTTTCCAAGCACGCAAGATTCACATGTCGATGGCGTCTGACACATCGGAGCTAGCCCTCACCCATGATAACGCTAAGCGAGCCACAGAGACCGGGCTGTCGCTCGGTTCATGGCCTCATTGGTTGACTCGATTCGACAACGCAGCGACTTCCATTATTGCAGGGTATTACAGATCGTTTTGTTCAGCTGCTCGGGGAGTTGACCAAGACATAGTTGCAATAGACTGAAAGTTGGAGTATTGCGAAATGCCTCGTCTTGATTGCGAAATGTAAAAGAAGCTGTTGTAAGAGTTATATATCCCGGTGTCTGTCTTGTGTCATGAGCGACTGTACAATACTGTTGCTTCAGCACTCAGAAATACCTTTTCCTTTCAATTCCACGCTCAAACATGATGATCGAAAAGGAATCCGTTCCATCCACTGTGGATGAACACAACTCTGGTCGAGATGATGACTCCAATATCCCTGAGCATCAGTCACTCATTGATTGGTCCGAAGCCGAAGAACGTGCTCTTGTTCGCAAGCTAGATCTACTCATCATGCCTCTGCTTATCTCTGGTTTCTTCGTCTTACAGCTCGACCGCGGCAACATCGGCAACGCTCTCACAGACTTCTTCCTCCACGAAGTGGGCATCACTCAATACCAGTTCAACGTCGGAAACCAGCTACTCAGCTTGGGAATCGTACTGCTAGAACTGCCGAGCAACCTTGTTCTGTATCGCTTGGGTCCTCAGAAGTGGATCAGCTGCCAGATCCTTTGCTGGGGCTTGGTCGCCACATTCCAAGCATTCATCAAAGGAAAAGGCGTCGGTGCATATTATGCTACTAGACTGCTGCTTGGCCTTTTGGAAGCCGGCTTCATTCCTGCTGGCTTGTACACTCTGACGCAGTGGTACAAACGCAATGAGACTAGCAGACGCTTCACTGCCTTCTTTCTCGGCAATATGATTGCTTCAGCGGCAAGTGGTCTCATTGCATATGGCATCCTTCAGATGAGAGGAATAGCTGGACTGTCTGGGTGGCAGTGGATGTTCCTTCTCGAGGGAATCATCACAATAGTCGTCGGTGTTGTTTTCGCTTGCCTCATGCCAAACTCTCCTGCAAATCCGTCAAACATTTTTGGTCACTTGTACTTCACGCCACGAGAAATCCACATCCTCACCAACCGCGTTACCATCGACAATCCCACCCAAGCCCAACGACACAAATATGTCAAGTGGGTTGATATCAAGGCCGCGTTCTCTAGGTGGTGCATTTACCCGCAGCTGACCGTGTCCTTCTGCTGCATCGCTATTATCTCACCACTCGGAACATATCAACCGTCCATCATTGCAAGCTACGGCTATGATCGTCTCCAAGCAAACGCACTGTCATCTGTTGGCGGTTGGATTGTCATTGTGCTAAATCTGTCGTTTGGATGGATTGCAGACAAGACTCAGAGGCGAGGCTTTCTAATTCTTATCGCGACTGTCCTGAGTTTTTCTTTCTGTCTCGCGACTAGGCAATTGGTCACAAGCACCAACCGCGATCTCAAGTATGGCATCCTCGTCTTTAGTACGATCTGGGGATCTGCTGCCCATCCTTTGAACGGTTCGTGGCTTGCTGTCAACATTCGGAACCCAGCAGAACGGTCCATCACCATGGCTCTCCTTATCATGACTGCCAACGCGGCTGGTCTCGCAGGTGCTCAGATCTTCCAGGCACACGATGCGCCATTGTATAGGACAGGCTTTACAGTTATCCTCACGCTTGCATCCATTGCGTTGGTATTTGCGATTGTGTCCAACATGCAGTATCTATGGCTTAACAAGAAACTTGCGGCTAAGGGACAGTTAAAAGAAGGACAAGTTGAAGCAGCAGTCGAAAGTGATAAATGGCGGTTCTCCCTTTAAACAGTTTCTTGCCACTTTTCAATGCCTTTAATCCAGCATTCAAGAAGATTATATAAAAGCTCTTCTATGCAAATCACATACCCTCCCTTGTTCATGGAGGCACCTTACATGAGACATCTCTAAAAAGGAGTTATAGTAATAGGGAAAGAGATGTCATTTAGCACTAGGTTCCAAGGGTGATTAGTCTTTAAGATATTATAGTTATTTACTGCTTCGCTTTGTCGACTTAAAGCTAAATGCTTCGAGAGGTAAATTATATATCTTAGTAGTCTGTATAAGCCCCTTGTTATGACTCATGTCGTAACTTGATACTATGACTTAAGCTGGCAGCTCATGGAGAACCCTTGGCTGTATAGGCTGCGCATCAGACTCCACTAAGACAGTTTCCGGACCTGCGTCAACTTCCATAATCGCTTCACCAGATGCGGGGCTATATTTTGGAGGGTGCTCATTTCCTTGATCAGTCATAATCGTGTTGTCATCACTTCTCCCTTGTCTCTTTCGGCGAATGGACCAAAATCCCAGACCAGTAAGGATAATAATGGCAATAACTGCTCCAACTACTGCGCCAGCTATAACGTCAGCAGGCGTTCCTGGCTTCTTTTGATCAGCATGGAGAGGAGGAGCTCGCAGCGAAAAGCGATCCGAATTGTTTTTACAGCAATCATTGTGTTGATCCAAGTTGCAGCAGTATTCATTCGACGCGCACTCTTTGACTTGAACCCATGTATTGTTTTTCTCTGAGACCCTGATTAGTTACATGTCGAGAGTGTTGGAGGGTACGGTCGCTAACTCATCGGGCATATCTTTTGGCATCCACTCCAATCATCGCTTGCACAGGCAGCTCGATAGTCGTAGTGATCAGACCACGAACACAGGCCATTAAGCAAACATTTATCATCTTGATCTGTTGAGCAGCAAGTTGAGTAAGTTGTGTTGCTAGAACCGCATGGCTTGTACTGCTTGGGAGCCTTATTTCCATTTGGAAAGTAATAGGTTTGCGCCAACGTTGTGTTAAGTAGATATAGCGAGAGAAACAGTCTATCAAACCTCATAGTGAAGGTGAGATCACTTATACGATAGTCGCTTGGAAATGAACGGCGGAAGCAATTGCTTTGTCCTAAAAGAGGGGATCCAGAAGATCATGTAAGAAACGTAAGGAGGAAGAGAAGAATTTAACCATTTAGCGGTGTTGGTATGATTAAAAAACCTATAGGCTATGACATCACATAGCCTTCAGGGCCAGGGACACAGGTACCGTAGTATCAATGAAGATTTCGGCTTGTGTTTATAAGTACGTGATTTGTCGGGCATTAAACAAAAGTTCTTCGCAGTGGTAAAACGCGTGAGTCCAATCATAATCATATCCTGTACGCCTGCCTTGAAATTACCTGAAAGACATAAGCGCTAGTGAACTAGCCGCCTATCTGTCCTGAAATAGTCTGATCTGCCCCCAAGAGGGTCAAGCCAACCGCTCTACACCTCAAGACGCTGGGTTTAGAGGCCAGGGTTGCTTTGATTTATTATGAGATTACACCTTATTACAGGATAGTTGCAGGCAAACAAAAATATAACACACTGTTAAAGCCGATCTAACACTTCCCAAGTTTGATCCATGCATGCATGAGCTGATTTTGCTCGACTACTTTCCAAACCTTGCCTCGTATTGCTGATACTCCTCATCTCCAATGGCAAACTCCCAACCACCACTCAGCCCATTAGCCAACCCTTTCCAAATTCGAAACCCGTAAACATTGGTCCACTCCCACCCCTCCAATCTTTCGTCATCAGGTGGGATACGGTAGGTCAACCAACAAACGGCAGATTCATTTGATACCACTTCGACGCGATAATCGTCCACAGTCACATGCATGCCTGGGCCATTGTCCCTCCAATCAGTATACAGAAGAGCGAAGTTCTCAGCAACCGTAGATTCATTCGGTGATATGCTGGGTTTTCCCAGAGTAAAGGAAGTGTAATTGGGAAGGAAAAAGGATGAGACTTTGAGAGAAAGGTCAGAAAGAGGGTAGGTGTAATCTCCACCAAGGGCGATAAGACCACTATATGCCAAAATGGCCTCTCGAGCGGCGCAAGTGATGTTGACCATGTTGAAAGTTGTAGTATTTGAGAGTGGTTACAATCACTGGTCTCTCCTCAGACACGACTTTATGCAATTTCCATACCGCCTCTCAGCAGCATTGCCCTCAAGTTACTAAATGCCTTCCAGCAGGAAGCAGGATTTTCGTCAACGGCTGGCATCTCCAGCGTATCAGAGAGACTTCAGATGTCACTCAATGCCAACCATGTAAGAGAACAGGGCGGAAGCTGGAGTCATTGGCTGTAAGAGATGTAGACCAACTCAGCGGCCCCCAAACCGATATTGGCGCTAAACACTAGCCGTCTAACCGTCCAGAAGCGGTATAGCGCTAGCCATGTAACGTTGCTAAATTATCATCCAGATATTATTAGATATTTCCATATCCAACAAGGTGCGAAAACAAATTATTCAGAGTGCCAAGGCTGTTTCAGTTGACCACGGTAGAAGGCGCACCTATAAAGCCAAAAAGAAGGCGCATCATCTAGACAAGACTGGATGCTGCCTCCCCTCTGACTATTGTATCTGCGACAATTAATTAATCTTTAGCTTCGATGAGCATAAATGCTAGATATACTGTATTTGGTGAGCTTTAGATTAGGTCACTGCGATCAGGCTAATGTTTAGAATATTATCGTCGGGTAAGCGTGATGGTTGCCAAGAATGGATGGAAATCCTAATCTTGAGAAGT